GATGAGTTCTCAGGTTGAAGACTGAATGCTCATCGTAGTATCAACCCTGACAACCTTGACCGGACACGTTCCCATCCCCACCTACCTGCCTGCCATCGGTTTCATCCTCCCACGAGAGGTCAGCCTCGCTCAACGGTCAAGCCTCTAACAAACAACTCCACTGCCCTCCGTCTGCAGGGGCATCAATCCCTTTCTATCCCTTGACAACCTGAGGCTGTCATACCACTCCATTCCAGCCCACGGGCCTGAACTCTTTCTAACTCTTCACTCCTGTGTCCCCAGATTTGCTCAGACATGCTGATTCGGATCATCTGAGGACCTGACTCTGCTGGGTGTTTGTCCCAGACATGAGTTTCTCTAACCCTAGCCCAGAAACCTAATCCCGATGCCAATGCCTTCCTCAAACATTTGATCTGAATGTCGGGCCTTTCCCCATTACAATTAGCCCCGGAAGAGAGCTAACCAGACACCTACTTTACTCTTAGAGGACAGGGTCTGTGTGGGTCTCATTTTTTTCATTTAGTGGTTATTCCAACATCATGCGAAATGGGGTATTAAATAAATGTTATTTGCCGAAGATGCTGATTGAAGCCCGAAGTACCCTACCAGAGCCGAAGGTGGTCCCTCCTGAGCTTTAGGAGACCTGGTGGCCAGGACAACGGCTTTGCCCTGGGCAGCCCCGTGACTCAGTCAGGAGACAAGACAAACCAGCTGTATCACTCCCCATCACAGAAGAGGAAGACCTTTTTCCCACGAGTGTGCGATTAAAACTGAAGGGTCAAGATTTTGCACATCTTAGGTCCTAATGCCGAACCTCACTGGCAGCTTCAGGAACTGTCCTCGGGCCAAAGGTCAAGAAATTGTTGGCGTGCCTGGGTGGCTCAGTAGGATAAGCATCCAAGTCTTGATTTCGACTCAGGTTACGATCTCCCTGTCATGAGATCGAACCCCACGCCCAGCACGGAGGCTGCTTGGGAAGCTCTCTCCCACTCCTTCTGTGCCTCCCACCCCATTCACATGCACATGTGCCCTCTCTCTTTCCCTCTCTCTTTCTCTCTCTCTCTCAAAAAAAAAAAGAGAAATTGTTGTATGTACAACTCTTACACATGCTGTATGCTACCTCGCTGAGTTTGATTTATTATATCTTAGCTGATTTTTAGATTACATCTTGGAGATAACCATTTCTACTAACTAACAGGTCTTTTCAGACATTTCTTAGAGGTGGCAAAATAAACTTGGGGAAGGGCTCCCTCAAAACTAAAACTCAGGGGCGCCCCTGGTTGGCTCAGTTAGAAGAACACGTGACCCTTGATCTTGGGGTCGTGAGTTCAAGCCCCACATTGGGCTTAAAATAATTTAAAAAACCAAAACTAAAAATGAGGAATAATGATAATAAAACCAGGCTAATACCACAGTCCACTTTTGTACAGAACTGCAAATAGGTCTTAAGGATGACTTATTTCCAACATAAGCTTAGTATCTACTAAGTTAACCCCTCCATATTCCCCAGTGCATAGTAAAACACTAGTATAGTGCGTTTCTCATTTTACCAACAACCAGGGAAAACTCACAGGAGTGCGAACCACTGTCTCCCACTCTTTTAAATTTCTGTAGTCCTATCTCAAGGCTGAACACAGAGGGCGCTTAGTAATCAGGCTGTCTACGTCAGACCTAATGTCTTGATCACACACTGTCCCTGGGTGTTTGCTCTTGTCCATCTGTCCACGTGCCTACGTGATAAGGAATACACTCGCTCAGGTGTGATGAAAGGCTAAGCTTTTTCAGAGAGACCCAGGAGATACACATTTAAAAACTGCAGTGGCTGGGGCGCCTGGGTGGCTCAGTCGGTTGGGCGTCCAACTTCAGCTCAGATCACGATCTCACGGTCTGTGAGTTCGAGCCCCGCGTCGGGCTCTGGGGTGATGGCTCAGAGCCTGGAGCCTGCTTCCGATTCTGTGTCTCCCTCTCTCTCTGCCCCTCCCCCGTTCATGCTCTGTCTCTGTCTCAAAAATAAATAAACGCTAAAAAAAAAATTTTTTTTAAAAACTGCAGTGGGAGGCAAACACC